AGCAGACCTGCCTGGAAGGAGCCTATAGAGCGTTAGTTATGTTGGGAGATTGGTCCTGAGCATCTCCTCAGAGAGAAGTTGCAATCCTAGCCTTGGCCCTTTCCCAAGCACTGTAAGTGAGGGGTCAGGCAAGGCCCCAAATAATAGGGTTGGTTGGATACCTGATAGTTTGCCAGTTAGGCCCTTCTCTGTTGAACAAACAGAGAAGGCCTGGTGGTTTTCCCTACTATCCTCCCACTTGAGAGTTCACTTCTGGTTGGGAGACAGGATTCCTAGCACCTCTGGTGTCAAAAGGTTGTCTTGGGGTTGTGCCAATAACTTACCAAACATTGAGCCTATGGGCTTTCAGTGGGAGTGTTATCCCCATGAGCCTTATCTCATCCAGTTATTTTTCTTGACAATAGGAGCAGCTTCCCTCTCCCATTCCTTCTCTTCACTCCACTTTCTTCCTTTCCCTCGTCCTTCATCCCACTGCTTTCCCATTCTTCTTTCTGGGTAGTAGGGGAGATTGACTCCCTGCTCAAGGACACTCCCTATTGGGCATAGGATGTGCCTACACAAAGTTCCCTGAGCCTGTAAGCACTCCAGGTGGGGAAGTGGACAGGAGCCATTGGCCATAACCAGACAATTTGGAGCAGTTTTCATAAAGCTCCACTGAGAGTTTTAAAGAAATATATGTAGCATGATTTTTTTAGTAGCGGGAAAGATTATTTAAATAAGATTGGAATCATGCAACAACAAGCGTATCACAACCAGGATGACCCCTGGGCCCCATTCCTAGGACCTGGTTACTTTACTTTCCCCTTGTTAAGACATAGGAAGACCTAATTTTTAAAAGGTCAATGTCCAGTTGAAGGCAAAACACTAATCAGATTTCAAGGCCCAAAACTTGGGGACTAGACCACCTTGTGTTGAAGGAACTCTGCCACCCCATGTGCAGTCCATGGATAAAGTAAATTAAATGACACTACTGCCCCAATTACTCCTTAGGATGTGGTCAAAACAGCATCAAATGTTTCTTCTCTTCCTTCCCCCAAGATAGTGCCCTGAACCTGTTAAATTAAGTCATTGGATTTTACTCTGTTCTGTTTACAGTTTACTATTTAAGGTTTTATAAATGTAAATATATTTTGTATATTTTTCTATGAGAAGCACTTCATAGGGAGAAGCACTTATGACAAGGCTATTTTTTAAACCGCGGTATTATCCTAATTTAAAAGAAGATCGGTTTTTAATAATTTTTTATTTTCATAGGATGAAGTTAGAGAAAATATTCAGCTGTACACACAAAGTCTGGTTTTTCCTGCCCAACTTCCCACTGGAAGGTGTACTTTTTTGTTGTTTAACATGTAGCTTGTTTGTGCCCTGTTGACATAAATATTTCCTGGGTTTGCTCTTTGACAATAAATGGAGAAGGAAGGTCACCCAACTCCATTGGGCCACTCCCCTCCTTCCCCTATTGAAGCTCCTCAAAAGGCTGTAGTAGTATCTTAACACAACAGTTTCTCCTCTTTTCTACAGTGTCTCTCCATTCTGGCTCTAGCTCCAGAGTGGTGAGAGGCATTAATCTTTTACATTTCCCTAATCTTTCCTACTTCAGAGTTAGCAACCAACAAGTTGAATGGCAACTTGACACTTTCCATCACCATCTGCCTCATAGGTCACCTCCTTTCCTTTCCCTCTGTCCACCAAGTCCTCATACTGCGAAGAACCCATTGATCCCCTTGTGCCCTCTTTTGGGGCAGCCCATTGAAACTGAAGCACAGTCTGACCACTCACGATAAAGCAGATTTTTCTCTGCCTCTGCCACAAGGTTTCAGAGTAGTGTAGTCCAAGTAGAGAGTGGGGCACCCTTTCTCGCCACAAGAAGCCCATTCCTATGGAAGTCTAGCAAAGCAATACGACTCAGCCCAGCACTCTCTGCCCCAGGACTCACGGCTTTGTTGTGCCTTCCATCCTGGGCTCCCTTTTCTTCCAACCTTAAGAACTTTGTCTGGTGGCTTTGCTGGAACATTGTCACTGTTTTCACTCTTGTGCAGGGAGCCCAGCACTGTGGCCAGGATGGCAGAGACTTCCTTGTCATCACGGAGAAGTGCCAGCAGGGGACTGGGGAAAAGCACTCTACCCAGACCTCACCTCCCTTCCTCCTTTTGCTCATGAACAAGATGCAGTGGCCCTAGGGGTTCCACTAGTGTCTGGTTTCCTTTATTATTGCACTGTGTGAGGTTTTTTTGTAAATCCTTGTATTCCTATTTTTTTTTAAAGAAAAAAAAAAACACTTAAGCTGCATTTGTTACTGAAATGATTAATGCACTGATGGGTCATGAATTCACCTTGAGAAAGACCCAAAGGCCAGTCGGGGGTGGGGGAAACTCAGCTAAATAGACCTAGTTACTGCCCTGCTAGGCCATGCTGTACTGTGAGCCCCCTCCTCATTCTCTTTCTACCAACCCCAAACCCTGACGACAGGGGAGGAACCCACATCCTTCCTTCTCCTGCCAGCTGCAGATGGTTTGCCTTGCCTTTCTACCCCCTAATTGTCAACCACAGAAATGAGAAATTCCTCTTCTAGCTCAGCCTCGAGTCCATTGCCAAAATTTCAGCATACCTGCCAGCAACTTGGGGGATAAGCTAAGGTCTCCCTATGAGAGGGAAAGAAGGCAAAAATGGCATAGCTGTCTCCAAAGCATGTCTGAGTTTGTTTTGAAAGTGACCAAGGGAATCTCCGCACAAAAGTGCAGTTGAGGAATAGTGGTGGGTCATTCCCAAGAATCCCCCAAGGGGCATCCCAAATCCCTAAGGAGTAACAGCTGCAAACCTGGTCAGTTCTCAGTGTGAGAGCCAGCTCACTTATAGCTTTGCTGCTAGAACCTGTTGTGGCTGCATTTCCTGGTGGCCAGTGACAACTGTGTAACCAGAATAGCTGCATGGCGCTGACCCTTTGGCCGGAACTTGGTCCCGTGACTCCCTCTGTTGCCACCCACCACTTCCAGCACAGCCCCTCCTGTTTTTAGACCAATAACAAGAATTAAGGGGGAAGCCCTGGAAGTTGTAAGTTTTCAACCAGACTCCTTTGCCAGGACCCAGTCCACCACCTTGCTCGCTTCTATCAAACCCCCGGCCAATGTGAGCACCATGCAGCTCCCTTGATTTAAATAAAAAAATTAAAAAAAAAAAAAATACAACACCACACACAAAAAAAAAAACAAAAAAAAAATCTTTTAATGAATGTATCTTTCTAAAGGACTGACGTTCAATCAAATATCTAAAAATACTAAAGGTCAAAACCTTGTCAGATGTTAACTTTTAAGTTTGATTTGGGATTTTTAAAAAATAGAAATCAAGTTGTTTTTGTTTTTGTTTTTAAGGAAAAGCGGGTCATTGCAAAGGGCTGGGTGTAATTTTGTGTTTCATTTCCTTCATTTTAAAGCAATACAAGGTTATTGAGCAGATGGTTTTGTGCCGAATCATGAATACCAGTCAAGTCTCACACTCTGAAAACTTGCAACTTTTTTGTTTGTTTTGGTTTTCAAATAAATATAAATATATATATAGGAACTAATATAGTAATGCACCATGTAACAAAGCCTAGTTCAGTCCATGGCTTTTAATTCTCTTAACACTATAGGTAAGGATTGTGTTACAGTTGCTAGTAGTGGCAGGAAAATGTCAGGCTAGCGTTCCTCTGAACCAAACCATAAGGGGATGGTAAAACAGTCCATTCCTAGGATCAGAGAGAAATGCAGAAATGGTGTCACCTGGATTTTTTTCTGCCCATGAATGTTGCCAGTCAGTACCTGTACTCCTTGTTTCTCTATTTTTGGTTATGAATGTTGGGGTTACCACCTGCATTTAGGGGAAAATTGTGTTCTGTGCTTTCCTGGTATCTTGTTCCGAGGTACTCTAGTTCTGTCTTTTCAACCAAGAAAATAGACTTGTGGTGTTTCTTTTATTGAACTTTTAACAGTCTCTTTAGTAAATACAGGTAGTTGAATAATTGTTTCAAGAGTTCAACAGATGACAAGCTTCTTTTCTAGAAATAAGACATTTCTTGACAACTTTATCATGTATAACAGATCTTTTGGTTTTTTTATTTTTTCCTTGTGTTCTTCCAAGCTTCTGGTTAGAGGAAAAAAAAAAGGAAAATGTGTCTAAAGTCCATCAGTGTTAACTCCCTGTGACAGGGATGAAGGAAAATACTTTAATAGTTCAAAAAATAATAATGCTGAAAGCTCTCTACGAAAGACTGAATGTAAAAGTAAAAAGTGTACATAGTTGTAAAAAAAAAAGGAGTTTTTAAACATGTTTATTTTCTATGCACTTTTTTTTATTTAAGTGATAGTTTAATTAATAAACATGTCAAGTTTATTGCTGCACTTTGTTGAGCTTCCTTTTGGCCTTGGGGATGTGTGGGGAGAAAGCGGGGAGGCGTGTAGCCTGTGACCTGGTTGCAAAGTACCTTCCACAGTCTTCTTTTAAGATGGAATCACTAAATCTTTCCCTGGAGCCTACATTCAGGTCCCACTCCACACTGGCTCTCTTAACTGTGTTTTCCAACTTTATTCATCAGTGACGTCTGTTTGGGACCTAATTAATTCTGGATGTGAGGAAGGGGTCAAGAGAACAGAGGAATAGTTTTACCTCCTACGTATCTGGGGGGAGTCAAGCAGCAGCTTCTAACGTTTTCTCCTAAACCGAATATAATAAAATAAGCACATTTCAGAGAGAAGCTGGAGAGTATCTTCTCTGCTCCACTCCACCTTAAGGCTGAAACTAGATTTGTTTATTGTTTCTCCTGGGATGGGGGAGGTGAAGTGATTGAGAAATAATTGTAAATATTCTGCCAAGCCAGGGTCACTAACCCCAGGCCAAACGGGGTTGAGCTTACACTACAGCCAAGGAATGGGAGACACTCCTCCTCATGGGAAAGGGCAGGGGTAGTCCTCAAACATAACCTGCTCTTTTAGATTAACTGCCTGCTGGAGGCTCAGCCCCCTTTCCTTTTTCCTCTTCTCACCCTGAGTTACCTTCTGGGATTCTGGAGTTGAGCACATGGGGACTCCAAATGATCAGGCAGTGTTGCAGGCCATCTTCAACCCTGACACCCCATTTGGAGACATTGTTGGGTTAGACCTGGGAGAGGAAGCAGAGAAGGAAGAAGATGAAGGTGAGCATTTAACCTTGGAGTGTACACTCCACGTGGGCTGACCTGCTGGCCTCCCAAAGGTGGCAAAAGGAGGTGATCTGATAGGACCACTTGTTCCACGACCCTTGGATTATGATTGAGATTGGAATTAGTGAAGTTAGCTGATCCTTTCTGCACTGATGGGGATTTGACGAGAGACATTTTGCCAAGAGGAGAATATTGGGGTTTGTCTCTCAGTCCATGAGCCCATACATCTCTGACTTACCTCTTAATTCATTCTATGATCTAAGCTTAACTGTGTTGTGTGACGTTAGATTCTCACATCTTTGTCATAACAGAGAATATCACTCCCCACAGAATGGAAGACAGAAACAGGATAGAGGGTGGTGGTTCAGGTGAGCGATTCTAACATAGCAAGCAGAACAACACTAAAATACAAGCCAAGCACTGAGCTAACTCTTCTGCAGAATTAGTATACTCACTGGCTTTTCCATTGGTCCCTAATGGAGGAGTTTTTGATTCCCTTTATTGCTAGAGGAATGAAGCCTAAGCCTTACTGAAACTTCAAGCTGAAGAGCTGAAGGATACATCAGAAGTGATTTTCATGACCTGGGAATGTCATGGTGGCCTTGTGTAAGAGGCAGTGTAGCAGAGCAAAATGAGGATGGGCTAAGGAGCCAGAAAGACCTGGGTACAAATCCAGGCTCTACAACTCATGGGCTGTGTGACCTTGAGCAAGCTATTTAACCTCAAGTTAAGGAGTTTGGGCTTCATTCTCTTGGCAATAGGGAGCCAAACAAGGTCCCTTTCCCAGATCCCTTTAGAATTTAGGCAGTGCTAGCTCTCAGCCTTAATGACCTCGGCTTTCCCTACACTGCAAGTGACCCCTGCTGTGATCCACACCTAGTCAGGTCTGGCTCAGGTCTTGGAATTCCAAAGCCTGAGCTGGCTTTTTCTTCCTGCTCCCAACTGCACACTTGTCCCATCCTGGCTCCTTTCCTGGCACAGACGGAGTTTTCCCTCAAGCACAATTGGAGCAGTCCACGGCCCTGGAGCTGCAGGGGGTGATGGCAGCAGAAGCTGGGGACCTCAGCACAGCCCTGGAGAGGTTTGGTCAAGCCATCTGCTTGCTGCCTGAGAGGGCCTCAGCCTACAACAACCGAGCCCAGGCCCGAAGACTCCAGGGAGATGTGGCGGGTGAGTGGAGATGCCTTGGAACCGCTACAGAAGGGGTCTCTGTAGGGCACAAACCAGAACCGAAGTGGTTGTGGGGTTGGGGTATGGGGGGGAGTCACTAAACCCCTCTGAAGCCTGTGTTCTTACTTATAAAGTATGAGATATATTATGGGCCCTGCTCATCTCAAGGGGCTATTGTGAAAGCAGTCTGGGTAGGGTGGGTTCTGGAACCAAGACACATAAAGACACAGGATAGGCAAGATCTTGCTCCAAGATGGTGCTGGAGTTCCACAAGTGCCTTGTCAGGCTCTTTAGGAAACTAGAGAACGTGAGTAAATTCAAAGGGCCCAGAAGAAAGCAGCCTGGTGGACTTTACAGAAGATGCCAGATTTCTGAGTTCAGATTTCTGAGGCCTAACGGAAGTATTTTATGAGGATAATAAAAACAGTGCAGGCCAGCTCTCACTCCGGGACCTCCATCCCAGAAAATTAGATACATAATAGCGAATATCATAGAGATAAAGAATGAGGAAAGGCAATCAGTCCAGGAAACGGGAGAGCTATTCTAAAGAATGCAATGGAAAAGAGGGGAAACAAAGCCCTCAAAAAGAAAAGAATGAGAAACAGACTTTATTATATTTGTAAGAAATGGTTGTGCTGTTAATTATAATTTTTTTGAACTCTGGGATTCAGCAGTCACCTGGCATACAGTAGATGTTCAGTAACTTACGTGTGCTACTTGCTGGGGCAGTGGGCCAGGTTCGTTAACACAGTGCACATTCAAAATCCTTCCTAACCGTTCATCTTTTGGTGTATTAGTGGGGGAAAATAATAGGATCAAGGTGAGACCAGGACTTTAGTCCCAGCTCTGCCACTAAGCTGTGCAGCCCAGGCCAAGTCTTCACAATTCTTCCAGTCTTCATCTGTGTCATGGGAGTAACAATCCTAGGATCAAATGTCTGCGATGTGCAGGCGGGTTGCAAAGGGCCATGCCCCGGAACCTCAGGGATGACCACAGATTACCGTGGTCTGCGCGGCCGCCCGCAGCGGGGCGGGGGCTCGGGCACCCGGCCGCGCCGCTGACCCCCACCCCGCCCCGCCCCGCAGGCGCCCTGGAGGACCTGGAGCGCGCAGTGGTGCTGAGCGGCGGCCGG